GTAGCAACTCCTTCTTGAACAAGCTGCTTTCCCAGTACCTTACCTTGGTTGCCACAGGTGAGGATGTCGCACGTGTCCATAGGTTGTCAGGCATCTGTAGGTCTGCGATAGGCCGGCCAGGTGTAGCCTGTGACAAATCTTCAGTGCAGTCACTCATCGGTTTTTGTTTTCATTAGCATGTTGTGTGACAGACCTGTGTGGATCTTTTTTTTATGACGGGTCTGCAGGATGCGGCTCGTCACAGGCCGTGCACCAAGACGGGATTGTCACGGGCCAGGCTGCAACACGGGTTCGACCTGACCCCAGCCTTTTGCCCGAAATGCTTTGGGGCAGCTTGTGAAAGTAGAAAGTGCTAAGCATGTTCTCTTCAGGATGAGGGGAATACTATAAATTCACCTTTCCTCGTGATATTGTTTACCTGCTAAAGAAAGGGGCGCTGTTTAAATCCCTCTAAGTGTCCATTTTTCTTCCGTGCACCTCCTCCCCATGCCAATGCCAATTATATCTGCAAATCTCAGGGTCCTGACATCCATGAGTATTAGTGGACCCCTTCCAGAGTCGTTGGGGAGTCTCACCAGTCTGTCTCGCCTGTACGTGAGCACTATTGAGCCTAGCATGGGTAGCTGAATGGAAGGGTGCATGCATGGAGCAACAGCGTTTGCACATACAGCACGTGCCTTGGTGGTTTGCTGTGGCAGTAGCAAACACACGAACAGTTGGTGCAACGTTTCTTACATTCATTTGTCTCCTTGGGCTTCTCCATCCCTCCCAAAAAAAAAAAGATCAGCCCCCACCGTCTCTTCGTTCTACACACTGATCTGATGTGTAGTCCAGTCCATTCCAATACTCGTCGCACCTGAGCTTGGTTCAGTTGTTTGCCGTAGCCTGCAATCACTGCGTCTACTGGTGGAGCCTGCGATCTGGTTAGGTTTGAGATTGCCAGCTCAAGAACAGCAAGAGATCTGGTTTTCCAAGAGTAACAATAGCAGTTTGTGTTATTCACGAGCTTGTTTGTTTGTTACAGTGTGGCTAGTGGCGAGCTGGTAGCAAGCTGGCTCGTCAAGCCTCTGGTTGCCCTGCATTCGTTGACGGATTGGAGACAGGGGGAGAGCACACACACACTCCACTGACATCTGTATGGATGCACGTCAGATCAGATAGAAGGTTCGAAACAATATTTTCTGGCTGGCCACCCTATCATGGTCCATTAGTCCCTAACCTTGCCATTCATGCGAGCCCCCCATCTTGCCATTCATGCGAGCCCCCCACCTTGACATCCATGCGAGCCCTTTCACAACCACCAGGTCTCTGTCCCAAAATTCGTTGACGGGGTCCATTCCTTCGACGTTTGTCAACTTGACCAACCTCCAACAACTGTCATTCGCAACAACTGATTATTGCAAATGGTTGTCCAACTTTTTTTTCCTCCCTCTCAGAAACTGCTGTTCTCTGCACGAATTGGGTCTTGCAAGAAACTAATGGTTCTGCAAAAGATTCTATTAGTTACCAGAGCTCGAAACTGTTAGCCGTAAGAAGCATTATCTGCAAGAACCAACACTGCAGCAGCTTTTAGCTGCATTATATGTGAGATGCAACAACAATAAGCTGAAACAGTTACTACTTGGCAAAATTGCACGTATTTTTGTGAGTCGCAAGAATCACCGAAGAATTGCTTGCTGCTGACTGATGATCGTCTGATCATAGTAGGCCTGAACAGTGGTCGGCTCGCAAGGAGTAAAAAAACTCCACAGGTGGCCCCGTGGCTCGGGATAACCTGTGGAGTGCGAGTGCGAGTGAAGTGCGAGTCAGGTCGGACTCAGGGCCACCTGTGCGAGTCAGGTCGGACTCGGCGCACTTCATACAACCAGATTCCGTTCGTGTGATTCATCGCCAAACGCACAGAATTCAATTCCTTAACCCCCCCTATTAACCCCACCCTCCCTCCCCTTTCCACTTTCCCCTATTCCTCTTCACCCTTTCCCACTCCTGTCGCGTTATCAGAAGCCTTGGGTCCAATCCACTCATGAAAGGCCCCTTTCCAGAGTATATTGGCAACCTGGAAATGCTTGAGACACTGTAAGTGACTGGCTTCCAAGCATGTGACGGACAGCAAATGGCATAATGGGTTTTCTCATCAGGCAAATGAATGTGATGGAAGTCTATTATATTTGTCCAGCTGTAGCCTGTCCACTGTCAATCCGCCCTGCAAGGGGCGCTGGGCCAGCTGTAGCCGTGCAAAGGGTACCAGTCCAACTATCAATCTGCCTTGGAAAGGCCACTGAACTCGAAGAGGGCGGGGGGTGAGGGGCGAAAACGACAGGAATAATGGCAGGTAAAGGATGGCAATGAGTCGGTGATCAGGGGATGAAGTGGAAAAGAAGGCCGGTTTTGGTAGGTGCTGGCAGTTATGGTACGCATTGGCAGCAGCTATTGATAGATACTGCTAGGGACAAATGAAGAAGAGAGTGGTAGGTAGGCAAGCTTGATACGTATGGTTAGAAATGATTTTCAGGAGTCTGAGCTTTGAATCCTCAGACAGTAACCTTGGTGAGGATTCTCATTTGCTTTAGCACCTTCGGATGCTGGCTTGGCACCTTCGGATGCTGGCTTGGCACCTTTGGATGCTGGCTTGGCACCTTCGGATGCTGGCTTGGCACCTTCGGATGCTGGCTTGGCACCTTCGGATGCTGGCTTGGCACCTTCGGATGCTGGCTTGGCACCTTTGGATGCTGGCTTGGCACCTTCGGATGCTGGCTTGGCACCTTCGGATGCTGGCTTGACATCTCGATGCTCACTGGGTCTCAATTGTTGCTCTTCATAATCCGATTTAAAATGTGCTGCTAATTTTCTCATTTTCAGTGAAGGTATTTCTGTAGTCCATTTGCAAGTAAACACACCGTTGTTCCATTCGCATTCATCATAGGTCAGTCATGCTTTATTTATTTTCATCTCGTTTTCCCCTTCTACCCTGCCCACTGCCAGGAGTTTAGACGGCACGGGGCTAACCGGGTCGTTTCCATCCACCATTGGCACACTCACCAACCTGATGTCTCTGTAATAATGGAAAAAAGCCAAAAATTGCATTCCCTTTTTGGATTGTCGCAACAGTTCTTACACTATATATATATGTATATATATATTTTATTGGATCGACTTGATCACTCATGCAGCAATTGGTTTCACTCTAGAAGGGAATCTAATCCCAGCCTCCATGGTTCGTTGCTCATTTGAGCCTGTTCTATTCATTCCCTTGGTTCCTTCAGGGATGTTCTGTTCAATAGAATGAATGGCAGCATTCCAGATTCAATCGGCCAGCTCACAAAATTGAGCGCATTGTAAGTGCATTTCATTTCCATCACGAATGAAAAATGTAGTCACAAGGCATGACTCATGAGCAACAGTTTGACCCTGGTTAGGCCCGTTATGGATGGGACTGGGCTTGGTCCACAATGTGTTGATCCCCCATGATGGACTCGCCTGTTTGTCGAGACGCAAACTCTCACGGCCTGACGAGACTTGGCCACTTGAGCCGCACAAGTCCCTTTCGAGGCCACTTGTCTGAGTTCCCACTTCAGTTGCTCTCAACTTAATAGGCATCCTCCCACCCACCCACCGCTGGGTCGAGCCTGTGTGCCTTCCACAGATATTAGTGGTGGCATGTTTTCGCTGGTTGGAAAGTTATAGATGCTAATCAAATCGATAGAAGAGGTCCTCCGACATTACTTACCTGAATAGGTTTGACCCGACAGGTTAACTCACTCGAATAGGTTTCCAGCGCTAGCCTGAGTTCTTTCTCTACTTCTGCCAAATGTGAGGGGCCTGACTACATTTGCTTTGTTATATTGCATGGCAACTTTTATTGTGAATATTCTCGTATGGTCGAGGCCTAAAATACACATGGTTCCAGAACTTCTTTAACATGTTAGGCTTGTGCTTGTAAGAGAATGTAGTGCCACCGTGTTCACCTTACCACCAGGATGACATGACTCCTGGCCCTCACTGCTGTAGTGGTCGACCTGCAAGCTTGACCCGAGCGAGAGTTGGGCGGGCGCAAGAGGGTGCTGGCACGGCAGGGAGTATTGGATGATGGCAGCACGCTACAGACAGCACTGACAACCGCCCCAGTACTGATCCTGCCCGATCCAGATAAGGAGTACGATCATGGCCGCACTGCTCCAGCACGGATCAGTGCTGGGGTTGTTGAAGGATGGTGGTGGGGCGCTGGAACCTCGCTGGTCAGTGTGATGGAGTCCACCAGAACTGCCCTCTCTCCCTCTTTCCCTCCCTCCCTGACTACATCCCCTCTCCATCTCTGCCTACCCCTCCCCTCCACCTCGCAGCTACATTCAGGGGAACAACTTCTCTGGCCACCTCCCTCCCTCCATGGGAAACCTCACCAAGCTCTTTGGCCTGTATGGCGGAGTGTGGTGTATGGCGCAGTGTGATGTATGGCGTAGTGTGCTGTATGGCGCAGTGTGATGTATGGCGCAGTGTGATGTATGGCGCAGTGTGATGTATGGCGCAGTGTGATGTATGGCGCAGTGTGATGTATGGCGCAGTGTGATGTATGGCGCAGTGTGATGTATGGCGCAGTGTGATGTATGGCGCAGTGTGATGTATGGCGCAGTGTGATGTATGGCGCAGTGTGATGTATGGCGCAGTGCGATGTATGGCGCAGTGTGATGTATGGCGTAGTGTGCTGTATGGCGCAGTGTGATGTATGGCGCAGTGTGATGTATGGCGCAGTGTGATGTATGGCGCAGTGTGATGTATGGCGCAGTGTGATGTATGGCGCAGTGTGATGTATGGCGTGATGCCACCCACAAAGAATCCGCCATTATCTACCATGACCAGAATGTTGCATGGTGTGCTCTCATATTATACTTCAACACACTTTTTTTTGCAAGCACTGTTCTTCTGCAATAGCACATCGTAACTTGAAATGTATTGCCATGGTTCGATGAGCATCTGTCTCGTCGTTCTGTTCGTCTGCAGGATTCTTAATGGCACGTCACTGACATGCCCGCCAAACAATGCCAACTGTGAGGTTGAGCAGCACCCTGACAGCGCCTTCTGCAAGACATGCCCCGCTTTCTGCTCCTCCTGTGTCGCAGCACCTGCAGGTATGGCAGCACCTGCAGGTATGGCAGCACCTGCAGGTATGGCAGCACCTGCAGGTATGGCAGCACCTGCAGGTATGGCAGCACCTGCAGGTATGGCAGCACCTGCAGGTATGGCAGCACCTCCTTGTATGACCTCTTTTTTATATCCTGCCCTGGAAGATTCGAGTGTCTTGTGGTTCGCATCATGCACAAACGCGCAGTAGTTCAATCAAGACGGCCAACCACTCATGCGTGCTGTGCTGTGCGGCTTGATGCTGTAATTGTGTGTGCGTGCATCATCTGCCTTCTACCTCCCCCCTCCACATGAGCACCTGCAGCACCCCCCTCAGCTGACACCCCAGCGCCCCCCACCACAACAGCTCCAGCGCCTCCCTCAGCCTCCACACCTCCAGCACCACCCATTAACACTGCACCCGCGCCTTCTCCATCGCAAGGGGGTCTGTCCACAGCTGCCATTGCCGGCATCGCTGTTGCTGCTGTGGCTGCCCTCCTGCTGGCAGTGCTGCTCGGTGCACTGCTGTGGCGGAGGCACAGCCAGGGAAAGGCATTCCCGAGGGCTGCCCCTGCAAGCAAGGAGGACTGCCAGGGTGTGACTTTCTCTCTAGCCCCTTCATCTCCTCTCTCCTCATTCAACCCTTCCCTCCCACCTCTGTAACTCGCTCTCTCTCTCTCTCTCTCTCTCTCTCTCTCTCTCTCTCTCTCTCTCTCTCTCTCTCTCTCTCTCTCTCTCTCCCCCCCCCCCCCCCCTACTGCACCTTTTCTAATCATCCCGTCTTCCACTGATCCTGAACTGTCTATCCTTGTCTCTGCATCTACCTATTCACCCATCATATGTCTCATAGAATCCGTCCATGTATTCCCTCCGACTCCCATCCATTCGTTCTCAAACAAGCACGATATTCTATCCTTCCATCGTCTTCCCCCATTGTGGATCTGTCTAAAGGCTCCTTGCCTGAATCACTTTCCGCCTTTTTTTTGGTGAGCTATACCGAAGCCAAATTATGGTCTTCGTAATCCCATGACCACAACTCACACGTATACTCTTGCCATGCCATCCATCTAGTCCGTCTAACTCTACTCCAACGCACATGCCTCATGACCCCCTTCCACGTTGTCGCACACCCCCCACTAAAACACTCTCCAGCCATGGTCGCAGACAGCACAGAAGCAGCAGCGTCAGCAGCGGCGGCAGCAGCAGCAGCAGTAGGGAGTGAGAAGGAAGGGGTGGTGGTGGAGGTGGGGGCGGCGCGGGCGGATGTGTGTCGGGAATATTCCCTAGAGGACATGGCAGCAGCCACGGGGGAGTGGGCGGAGCGCAACAGGATTGGCAGCGGCAGCTTTGGCGACGTGTACAGAGGTGTGAACCCGCATGGTGGGAGCGAGGTGTGGGCGGTGAAGCGCGCTCGAGTGCTCACCAACGACTTCCAAAGAGAGGTGGCACTCGTGTGACTCTCGTGTGACTCTCGTGTGCCTCTCTTGTGCCTCTCGTGTGCCTCTCGTGTGACTCTCGTGTGACTCTTGTGTGACTCTCGTGTGCCTCTCGTGTGCCTCTCGTGTGCCTCTCGTGTGCCTCTCGTGTGCCTCTCGTGTGCCTCTCATGTGCCTCTCGTGTGCTTCCCGTGTGCTGCCTGTGTGCTTCCTGAGTGCTCACCAACGACTTCCAGCGAGAGGTCACCCCTGAGCTTACTTGTGCTCCCCGTGTGCTCGTTGCAATTTCTCGTGCCACACCATTGTTTTCGGATAATAACGCCATCTACTTCCACTTGCACTTTTTGATTTGTTCCCGTCTCCCTTTGCAGGTGAGGGAGATGGCATCGAAGCACCACCCGAACCTGGTGCGGCTGCTGGGCTACTGCATCGCATTTGACGCGGCAACACGCACCATGGAGCAAATACTCGTGTACGAGTTCATGCCCAACCACGACCTCGATGCCTGGGTCGCACCCGGTGCCGCCACGCCTCTCTCCCTGCGCCAGCGAATGGACATTCTGATCGGCGTGGCCAAGGGGCTGCAGTACCTGCATGACTTTGGCATCGTGCATCGCGACATCAAGCCCGCCAACATCCTCCTCAGCGCCACCATGCAGGCATGCTTGCAGCAATCCCTGCTTGCTCCTCGCTCTCATGCTATCAACCTCCCTCGCACTTCATTCCACCCTGCCTTATTCCTCAGTCATTCATTCTTGAATAAGCCACTGCTGCTCCTGCCGTTGTGCTGTGAGTGAGGGCTCCTGTGCAACCATTCATCATTGAATTGGCCACTGCTGCTCCTGCAGGCCAAGATTGCGGATTTCGGGCTGGTGAAGCTGAGTGGCGGCACGGCTGCAGGCACAACAGTGGCAGCCACTCGAGTGATGGGCACACCGGGCTTTGTGGACCCCGCCTACTGCAAGTCCCACAAGGCCACCCCCATGGCTGATGTGTACAGGTGAGGAGAGGCACCCCCTATGGCTCATGCACTGGGTGCAAAAAGATAACTGATGTGCGTCGGTGCAGACGAGGAAATTGCAGATTGTAGAGCATGTGAGAGGGCAGTGAAACGTGACTAGGAGACCAAGGGCAGTGAAACGTGACTAGGAGACCAAGGGCAGTGAAACGTGACTAGGAGACCAAGGGCAGTGAAACGTGACTAGGAGACCAAGGGCAGTGAAACGTGACTAGGAGACCAAGTGCAGTGAAACGTGACTAGGAGACCAAGTGCAGTGAAACGTGACTAGGAGACCAAGTGCAGTGAAACGTGACTAGGAGACCAAGTGCAGTGAAACGTGACTAGGAGACCAAGTGCAAAGCGGATTGTCCGTGCCTTGTCATCGTCTTCACTGCTACGATTCTTCCAAAGTCTGATGTTGTTTGCTTTGTGATGGCAGCTTTGGGGTGGTGATGCTGGCGGTGATCACGGGACGCAAGGCAGTGCAAGAGGTAGAGGGCGGCCATGTGAACCTCAAGCAATGGGTGAGGCATGAGGGGAGCAATGGGTGAGGCATGAGGGGAGTAATGGGTGAGGCATGAGGGGAGTAATGGGTGAGGCATGAGGGGAGCAATGGGTGAGGCATGAGGGGAGTAATGGGTGAGGCATGAGGGGAGCAATGGGTGAGGCATGAGGGGAGTAATGGGTGAGGCATGAGGGGAGTAATGGGTGAGGCATGAGGGGAGCAATGGGTGAGGCATGAGGGGAGTAATGGGTGAGGCATGAGGGGAGCAATGGGTGAGGCATGAGGGGAGTAATGGGTGAGGCATGAGGGGAGTAATGGGTGAGGCATGAGGGGAGCAATGGGTGAGGCATGAGGGGAGTAATGGGTGAGGCATGAGGGGAGCAATGGGTGAGGCATGAGGGGAGCAATGGGTGAGGCATGAGGAAAGCAATGGGTGAGGCATGAGGGGAGCAATGGGTGAGGCATGAGGGGAGCAATGGGTGAGGCATGAGGGGAGTAATGGGTGAGGCATGAGGGGAGTAATGGGTGAGGCATGAGGGGAGCAATGGGTGAGGCATGAGGGGAGTAATGGGTGAGGCATGAGGGGAGCAATGGGTGAGGCATGAGGGGAGCAATGGGTGAGGCATGAGGGGAGCAATGGGTGAGGCATGAGCGGAGTAATGGGTGAGGCATGAGGGGAGCAATGGGTGAGGCATGAGGGGAGCAATGGGTGAGGCATGAGGGGAGCAATGGGTGAGGCATGAGGGGAGTAATGGGTGAGGCATGAGGGGAGCAATGGGTGAGGCATGAGGGGAGTAATGCGTGAGGCATGAGGGGAGTAATGGGTGAGGCATGAGGGGAGCAATGGGTGAGGCATGAGGGGAGTAATGGGTGAGGCATGAGGGGAGCAATGGGTGAGGCATGAGGGGAGCAATGGGTGAGGCATGAGGGGAGCAATGGGTGAGGCATGAGGGGAGTAATGGGTGAGGCATGAGGGGAGTAATGGGTGAGGCATGAGGGGAGCAATGGGTGAGGCATGAGGGGAGCAATGGGTGAGGCATGAGGGGAGCAATGGGTGAGGCATGAGGGGAGCAATGGGTGAGGCATGAGGGGAGTAATGGGTGAGGCATGAGGGGAGCAATGGGTGAGGCATGAGGGGAGTAATGGGTGAGGCATGAGGGGAGTAATGGGTGAGGCATGAGGGGAGCAATGGGTGAGGCATGAGGGGAGTAATGGGTGAGGCATGAGGGGAGCAATGGGTGAGGCATGAGGGGAGCAATGGGTGAGGCATGAGGGGAGCAATGGGTGAGGCATGAGGGGAGTAATGGGTGAGGCATGAGGGGAGCAATGGGTGAGGCATGAGGGGAGCAATGGGTGAGGCATGAGGGGAGCAATGGGTGAGGCATGAGGGGAGTAATGGGTGAGGCATGAGGGGAGCAATAGGTGAGGCATGAGGGGAGTAATGGGTGAGGCATGAGGGGAGCAATGGGTGAGGCATGAGGGGAGCAATGGGTGAGGCATGAGGGGAGCAATGGGTGAGGCATGAGGGGAGCAATGGGTGAGGCATGAGGGGAGTAATGGGTGAGGCATAAGGGGAGCAATGGGTGAGGCATGAGGGGAGTAATGGGTGAGGCATGAGGGGAGTAATGGGTGAGGCATGAGGGGAGCAATGGGTGAGGCATGAGGGGAGTAATGGGTGAGGCATGAGGGGAGCAATGGGTGAGGCATGAGGGGAGCAATGGGTGAGGCATGAGGGGAGCAATGGGTGAGGCATGAGGGGAGTAATGGGTGAGGCATGAGGGGAGCAATGGGTGAGGCATGAGGGGAGCAATGGGTGAGGCATGAGGGGAGCAATGGGTGAGGCATGAGGGGAGCAATGGGTGAGGCATGAGGGGAGTAATGGGTGAGGCATAAGGGGAGCAATGGGTGAGGCATGAGGGGAGTAATGGGTGAGGCATGAGGGGAGTAATGGGTGAGGCATGAGGGGAGCAATGGGTGAGGCATGAGGGGAGTAATGGGTGAGGCATGAGGGGAGCAATGGGTGAGGCATGAGGGGAGTAATGGGTGAGGCATGAGGGGAGTAATGGGTGAGGCATGAGGGGAGCAATGGGTGAGGCATGAGGGGAGTAATGGGTGAGGCATGAGGGGAGCAATGGGTGAGGCATGAGGGGAGCAATGGGTGAGGCATGAGGGGAGCAATGGGTGAGGCATGAGGGGAGTAATGGGTGAGGCATGAGGGGAGCAATGGGTGAGGCATGAGGGGAGCAATGGGTGAGGCATGAGGGGAGCAATGGGTGAGGCATGAGGGGAGTAATGGGTGAGGCATGAGGGGAGCAATGGGTGAGGCATGAGGGGAGTAATGGGTGAGGCATGAGGGGAGCAATGGGTGAGGCATGAGGGGAGCAATGGGTGAGGCATGAGGGGAGCAATGGGTGAGGCATGAGGGGAGTAATGGGTGAGGCATGAGGGGAGCAATGGGTGAGGCATGAGGGGAGCAATGGGTGAGGCATGAGGGGAGCAATGGGTGAGGCATGAGGGGAGTAA